AAAGATATTATTTTTTCCTTTCTTTTTTTTTTCTTTTTTTTTTTCAGGGAAAGACATGACCTTTTCCTAGTTTTGTTGTGTATGATTATGTCTTTATTTTTCCTCCTTAAGCCAAGCAAAATAAAGTGTTATTTTTATCTCACTGTGTTTTGGGCTAGGTGGAGATACAATCAGGCAAAGGAACACAGCAGGACATTTATGGAACTGTGCAATTTTTGGGGATGGAGGAACAGTTGAGCGATATCCCTCAGATTTTTTTTTTTTCAGTTTTGTTTAAAGCTTTCCTGTTACTATAGCTACTGGTTTTGTCATGCTCACGTATAGATGGTTTATCACATTGTCCTTTGAAACTGATTGCTGTTGCAAATCATTGAAGCCAAGAGTGTAAGGGGTACAGGTGTAGCAGGAGACTGTGGAATGGAAACCATGGAAGGACCTGAGTCCAAGCATAGGAGGAGACAAAAATAGATGTGGAGGATTGTCAAGAAGGCACACGTGCTAGGATTGTAACATAAAGGAGGAAGAAACTGGAGAGAAGTCAGATATTGTAAAGCTGCGATGAGTTATGGACACTTCATCTTGCCAGAAAAATGAAGGAGAATGATTAACCTTCAGCTACCTCCCTCTGGAGCCAAGCAGATAATCAAAATCTTGGATTCTTCTGCAAAGGGGTCCTTCCAAAACGATTTGGGAGACCACAATGGGAAGAGATTGTTCTGCCTGGTAAAAGCTTATTTAGGAAGAGGACTGAGACCTTGGCAAGTTACAAGCCTGCTGAGAAAGTAACATCTCTGGAAAGGTAGAGCAGAAGATGCTAAAATGGAATCTTGCCTGGAGTCTTGTGTGGGGATTGCTATTAGTATGCATAAGGTATGTTAAGTGATCCACAGAGTAGAGGCAAGCTATTCATGGGTGTATTAAGAAAAGTGAGGTGAAAATCTGTTTTAACTTTGACATATTCAAATTTGAAAACATCCTGTTGAATAAGTTAGTTTCTATTACTACTATGGGGACTCCAGAGTGAAGTTTTGGGTCTTCAAAGCAAATGGAGAGCAAACTTAGGGAGGAGCCTAGAAAGTGAATTCAGAGGTCTTAAATTTCTTTAAAAAAGGTGTCCTAGTGATGGTTATTGGGAATAGGTGACACTCTGTTTGCCCTAACTATATGTAGTTGCAAAAAATGGCAGTTGCCAAAAGGGCTGGAAGAAAGGTAATACATGGAATGGTGGACTCAAAACTGGAAAAAAGCTTTGATGGGTATAAAGTGAGATACCTCATATTGGGGAAAGAAATCAAATGCATAATTCCTCAGGAAACAGAGAATTGAACAGTTTGATTTAAAATTTTGAAGATTTTAGTCTTAAGGATTAGTGATGTTTATCTTTGCATTTGTCCTGTTTCTTAAAAAGGGATCTCTTCGTACTCAGGTGTCATGTAATTACAGGGTGTCTATTTGTGTTCATAAATACGGAATTGACTTCAAGTGTTTGCTTTAAAACAGACTAAATATTGATAGTCACAGGTACCTCAGTATTGAAGAACTGAGGTTTCTCAGTGCTGCCAGGCTTACAGTGTCCTTTGCCAAGGAAAAAAAAAATACCCTCAAGTGTTCATTATAAAATGTAAGTTAAATTTCTGGAAATGATCCTGTGACTTTGGCACATAATTGTTCTTTTGTATTTCTCCCTTCTACAAATAACTTGAGCACTGTGCAGACATTTAACTATTGCCACCTCTGTTTAGAATAATAAGACTTGTCATGACAAAATTATGACTATTTGTTATTTAGCTTGATTACCAAATATATCCTAATGTGTGGATTCTAGGTGCTGGGTATGTAAATTATTGAGACTCTGTGAAATGCAAAAGAGAGAAAATGAAGAGGAGATGGGACTATGTTAAATATAGTAATCACAAAAGCTTGTGTGACAGGAAATTGTAAATTGACAGTAATTAGGGGATGCATTCATTCATTTTTGCTTTTGTGTGCATTTTTGTGCATTTCAGGGGACATGCTTAACTTGTTTCTATGAATATAATTCTTTTGGGCAAATGGATATTCAGGTGAGAGAGAGGTAATTAGATATATTCAGATGTTTGCATCTAGAAGGCAAATCAGTAGGATGTCTTTAAACATGAAGGACATTTGTAAGGAAAATAGAATTATTTTGAAGATATCTTCTGGATTTCACAAAGGGTACTTTCAGTGAGAACATACTTTTGAAAACTGATGGTGGTTTGGAAAAGAAAGCCTTTTACCTAAAGATAATTACCCTTTTTTTTCACCCGTAGGAGAGTTCAGCATGTTTTGGAAGGAGAAGTTTGGATTTGTTATGCAGCACCAGTGTTGCCTTCTCAATGTCATTTTCCCATCTGTCTTGCTCAGCAGTGTCACTGTCTGGGCTGATGCCTGCCTGTGTGCAGTCTCCAGTCAGATCCTGCTGGACAGGGAGACAGTGACCCTCCAAACTATTCTTGTACAATGTCATGCTCCATATCTTCCTCAAAGGAACTGTGGATACAATTTGAACTTGTTTATATTCTTTCCAGTGGCCAGGAAAATGAATAACTCCTTTTTCCGTATTTGGAATTCCTTCAACAATAGATTTACCATTATTTAATCTTTCTTATTTTATCAGCTATATTTATCTTTCAGTGCTCTTAGAACTCTGTTACCTGATACAGGTCCCATGGAAATTTAGGGAAACTTCTCAGCCTATTGCAAGGAAAATAGGTTCCAAAAATCTTACTTTGTCTAAAACTTGCCATCACTTTCCCCATAGCATGAACTGCCCTGTTTAGAAAAGTGTAGATGTTTCATTTAATGTCAGCACTTATAAAAAGGTAAAACACAATCTATTGTGACAATACCTTTTCTGTTCTGCTCAAGATTCATTTGGCATTGTATTAATACATGTATTAATTCTGTCCTGGGAAGTGCTTAGGCTGGAAATGGGTGATGTGCTGCAGATGGTGTGCCAAATTTTTGTACTTATCTTGTGACTCTTGCCACCCTTCCTTCTGTCTAGCTCTCCTGACTTCTGTAGGTTGTGTGGTTCAACTGAAAACACTGCAGATCAGGAACGAGAATGTGCTCTATATTTAGTCATGTCATCAGTAGTACCATTGTGCAAGTTGCTTATCTTTCTTAACTGTATCAGGGATTGTCCTTCCTCTCCCTGTAAATAACAGAGATCTTTAAATTCAAGAGGTTGCTGTGAATTCTTCCTGTCAATTCAACAGCCACACAGTAAAGATGCTCTTTAGTACCTATCAAGTGATGAAAATTTTTGATGTTCATCTGTTTCTGAAAATCTTAACATTTTGAACCAGCATTTCTTTTCTTAAGAATATAGACTAAAATGGATCTTGTGAGATCATCTTTTCATAGCTGAAAGACATGATGAAAGCCTGAGACAAAATAAGTATACTTAGTATACTTAGAATTTCCCCCTACTTAGAATTCTAAGTATACTTAGGATTTCAGAAATTTTGTCTGAGCCAGCCTTTAGAAATTGGTGATAAGGGAAATACCATGATATTCCTACTTAGGCTGCTTTACTGCTCAATACAGTTGGGAAAATTTCTATGTATCATCCATCTTCTAATTTATCTTGGCATAAATCAAGCTGTTTTCTACTCATCCTGACATGGATGAACAAGGAATAAAATTAACTGGTATGTATTAAATCTCATCAAGTATGTTTTAGTTTCAAAATAATACAATACTGATCTTTTTGTTATCTTGTTTGCTTTCCCTACCCACTAAGGTAATGTTTGGTCTTGGAATTGCATTTTTAATTTGTCCTCTTCATTTTTTTTCCATTTTTTTTTTTTCAAATTGAAGGGCTCTTTTGGTACTGTTCATACTGTTCTCCTGATATGGCTTTTCCCCATACTGTCTGAAAATCCAACAGCTGAAGTTATTTTCCCCAATTTGAACAAATATACCATAGTGATTCCTTAGTGTAGTTCTCCCATAATCTGAAAAAGTGTTGCAGTTCTGAAGCAACAGCATTGGAAATTTTCCAAGAATGTGGGTTTGCCTAATGTCTCCAAGATCTCTTCCCTATTTCCCCTATTATCTAATTAAAACATTCTTCTACTTCTAAGAATCAATGTATTAATTTCTGGTGTTTCAAGCACTTATCACTGCTAGATGGGAATCACACTGCACAATCCTGAAGAACAATGTGGTTATACAATCTATATTTCAGTATAATCGGACAATGAACTGCTCTGAAATTGTCTTGCAAATTAATCCGTCTCACCATGAAACCTTTCATGATTCTAATTCTTAGCTGTTCCAAGCAGAGCTGGAAAATCATGCTAAAAGGCGTAATACATGTTTTGCAGCTAAAGGGCATAATACACGATTTGCATTACGGCTTATAAGCTTTCTTAACCAGGATTTAATAATTCAGATTCATTACTCTTTAGATGCTGTGCCTCTGTCTGGCCTCGCACCTTTTATAAGTCGTGCTTATCCTTTATAAAATATACAGGTCACGATGAAAAAGTCATAACTAGCAGGCTTTTCTATGCATTGTACTTCATTAAGCTTCCTGAAATAGCAGCAGCTTTTGACCTCTAAGATCATCAAATTCAATTGAATTGAATTCTCTGAAAACTAGGAAATAGATCATTAGAGTACACACCATGCTGAAATCCAGCTGTGATTCTGTAACCTTCTAGACACTGGATTGAATTGTGACTGAAGGACATGATACCTGTATTTTTATTTTTTTTTTTTTTGTGATTCTCATATAGTATCTCCTGCATTACTTGCAGACTCCTACTCCATGTTTTATTGAAAAGTTACAGCGTATGAAGGGTTGAAAAAGTGCAGGGAAACATGCAGACCTGAATAGTGCAAGGGTTGGGGGTGTGTTCAATGAAAGTGGAAAAAAGAGGAAATGAGAGTTGGATTTTGCCACTGCCAGGGTGAAGCTGGGTTGTAAGGGCAAGGGCTGAAAAGAAAGGAATGAGGTAGAAAGGATGTTCATATTTAGTGAGTTTATTCTGGAAACAGCAGGCACATGTAGTGATAGGAAAAGGGTAATAGTTTTATACTGAAAGAGGACAGGTTTAGAATACATATTAGGACTAAATTCTTAAATTCTGTGAGGGTGGTGAGTCACTGGTGGTTGCCCAGAGAAGTTGTGGATGCTGCACACCTGGAAATGTTCAAGGCCAGGTTGGATGGGGCTCTGAACAGCCTGGTCTAATGAAAGGTGTCCCTGTCCCCCAGGGCTGAGGGATTGGAATTATGTGATCTTTTAAGGTCCCTTCCAAACCCAAACCATTCTGTGATTCTCTGTTTCAATGAAAGTGCAAGTACAGATTTTGGCATACTTTAAAATGTATCACTTCTCTCCCAATTTAATGAAGTCATCCAAAAAATTGTTCCCAGAGGATGCAGACATAGCAAGTAACATTAGTGACAGATTTCTATAAAGCTGTCAAACGGGGGTTCAAACTTGCAGTATTCAGGGACCTCATGATGTCTTCTTGAATTACCCTGTTATCAACAAAGGCAGCCTCAAATATCCTAGGTTTTATGAGACCCTTGTTGAAGAGCATATTTCACTTCCTTTAGCTGAGCTCCTGATATTGTGGCCTTAAAGTCCTAATTTTACCCCAAATAGCTTCTTCCAGACAGTGCCTCTAAAGTGCAATGAATGATATGTAATAGAAAAGTGTCTGATATCAGCCAGGGAGGACTGGAACCAGAGCCTGGGGGAAGAAAAAAAAAAAAAAACAAACCCAAAAAAACCCCCAGAAAAGCCAGAAGAATCTGGTAACCTTATTAATGAATGATGCTTGGAGGCATTCCTCCTCCAGGGCTCTAAATCACAAACCTACCCCCTGACGAGGCCAAAACAAGTCAGCTTGTGAACTTTTATCATTCTAGACTAAGTTTTCATCTTGATCCTAATCTTGGAATAGAGCTCTGCAAGTTACTGTAAGAAAACACGCTTTTTCAATAATGCATTTCTCTGTAATTTGCAGGTGTATGTGATAATGTGATAATGGCTCAAGTACCATGGTGCATCAACTCAAGATTTGGTCATATGACAACGGTGACAAATTGAAACTGGGAGTTTCTAACTTGATATAATGGAAGTGTTTTCACCACAGGAACATGGGAACTAGGTGCTAAGAGTTGAATTGCTAAGCTGTTGAATTCCTGTCCTTGGAGTATTTTCACATCCTTACCTAGACAAAGGCCTGGGCTACCTGCTCTAAAATCAATGCTGACACTGCGGGAGGCTGCACTAGTGACCTCAGTCGCTTTCATTGCAAGAACTGAAGAAAATCAATGAAATGGGATCTGGGTTCCAAACAAATCAAAGAAGGTGATTCTTCATACACAGCTCAGGTAAGACGAACATTAGGAGCACTTTGCTGGATGATAGAAGTTATGTGGGCTCTAGTCTGGTTCACAGAAAAGATCCATTAGGAGTTAGTTAGCTTGCTTTCAGAAAACAAGAGCTTTTCTTTCCTTGAGCAAGAAGCTCAGCCTCTGCAGGCAAACACTGGATGTTGGTACTAGAGTTGAGGAAAGAAGCTGGAGAGTTGCCTGTGACCGTCTTGCTCCTGCGCTCTTTCTCAGCTCCTGCTCCTGTTGGGACATGAGACAGAATATTAGGCTAAACAGACATTTAGTTTGACCCAGTACAGATGCTTTTAGGACCTGAAATCCAAACCACAATAATGTTTATTTAATGAAGTTACTATTAATTTGAGGTGGCTAAGCCTATTTTGTCACAGTGGTCGAATGGCCAAAGCCTGGTGGAGTTACAAGCTAAATGCAATGAGTTGGTCTAAATCTCTTCTGCACAGACCTAAACATGCAATGACACAACATAACTTGTTTGATTGACTTTGGAATTGCACTAGAACTGACCTTACTGCAAGTTCTGTGGTAACTCACACCTAACCAGAGTGACTCAGAATTGTTAGGGCTTCTGTGGTGGGTTGATGCTGGCTGGACATCAGCTGCCCAAACCAAAGCCACTCTGTGATTCCCTCTCCTCAAATGGCCAGGGGAGAGAAAATATAATGAAAGGGTCGAGGTAAGGGCAGGGAGAGATCCCTCATCACTTACTGTCACAGGCAAAAAAGACTCAACTTGGGGAAATTAATTTAGTTTATTACCAGTCAAATCAGAATAGTATATTGAGAAATAAAATCAAATATTAATTTGATTCTACCCCCCATTCTTCCAGTTTTATTCCTGATTCTCTACCTCCTCCCTCTCAGTAGCACAGAGGGATGGGGAAGGGGGGCTTTGGTCAGTTCACCACATTGCCTCTGCCACTCCTCCTCCTCCTCAGGGGGAGGACTCCTCATACTGCTCCAGAGTGGGGTCCCTCCCCTCCCTCCCTCCCAGAAGACAGTTCTCCATCAACTTCTCCAACTAAGTCCCTTCCCATGGGCTGCAGCTGTGCATGTGCCACTCCATTGTGGGTCCCTTCCACGGGGAGTGGTCCTTCTTACAGGAACAGCCTACTCCAGCGTGGGTCACCCCCAGGGTCACAACTCCTGCCAGCAATCCTGTTCCACTATGGGCTCCTCTCTCCCTGGGTTTGCAGGTCCCTGCTCCAGCATGGGGTCACAGTCTCTCCTCAGGCATCCACTTGCTCTGGAGTGGAGTCCTCCACAGGCTGCAGGTGGATCTCTGCATCCCTGTGGTGCTCCACGGGCTGCAGGGGCACAGCTGCCTCACCATGGGCTGCACCATGAGCTGCAGGGGAATCTCAGCTCCAGTGCCTAGAACACTTCCTGCACCTCCTCCACTGACCTTGCTGTCTGCACAGCTGTTCTTCTCACATATTCTCACTTATTCTCTGGCCCAAATTCCTCCTTCATGCTAACATTTTTCCCTTTTAAAATCCCTTATCCAATACACTGGCCAGCATTGAGTCCAACCTGGAGCTTGGATGGCATTGCCCTTGTTAAATGTAAGGGAAGCTTCTGGCAGCTTCTGACAGATGCCACTCCTGCAGCTCCCCCTCTTCCAAAACTTTGCCATGGAAACCCAACAAGGTTTAAAAACAAAAAAAGGTAGCACAGAAGTTTTAGTATTAGAAGTTTCAATCAAAATTCTGACTTAGGATAAAGGGCTACAAGATACTCTGTCCTGCTTTATAACTGTGGATAAACTAAAATTCTGTGGATTGCTGGAAGATGAGAATATCAGTTAGTCTGCTCTGTGTGCCACAGTAATGACCATTCTTGGTTGCTAGATGACACCATGTTAGTACAGTACATATATATAAAGTATATACAGTATACTATCTTTTCCAACAGTGGTCAAAAAGGGAAGTCTACACAAAGATATCCTGGTGCACCAGACCTGCACTGTTGTCTGAAACTGGTATGAAATAAAGCAAAGCCTTCTCTCTCCTGACTTTTGCTGCTTTTCTTGCCTCCTGCTTTCTTCTGATGATTTATATTGGTTATTTTGAAGAAAAAGCAAACGTTATCGTTTTCCCTGTACTGCAGCATTCTCTCCTCTTACACTCTCCTACTGCATGCGGGCGTTCTCCCTCTCCCACACAGCCGTGTCCCCAGTTGGTCTCCTCTGTTTTTCTTCACTAACCTGTCCCCAGTCAGACTCACCTACCCTTTCCCACCCCTCTTTGCAGCCTGTCTTTCCCTTTAACACTCTCCTTCTACGCCCAAGCTTGCAAATGTCCTATTTCCTGCCTTTCCGATCCTTCTCTCTTCCCCCGTGTCAGAACAGTAAGAACCCCACAGAGCCACGCTTGGCTCCGCCACTGCTGCCCTCACTGAAAGAGGCATTTCTGCTCTCTGGACCGGTCCCCACTTGGCTTTGTCAGTCCTCCTCTCCGACTGCAACTGCTACTACGGCCAAGCCAAGGCACTGGCTAGGACTCCCCACCTGGCACCCACCCTCGCCCTGCTGGCTGGCGCTAGGAATTGAGTAAGAAACCTACGGGCTCTGCTGTACGGCAGACCACTCCTTGCTTGTCCCATCCACTCGGTCCCTAAACCACATTCTGAGTGACTGGAGCACTTAACTCCAGCTGGAGCATCCCCACACACCACACCAGCACCAGTAAGGGTCTTGGTCTGACTGAGGGCCAGCCCAGCCTCACTGAAATGCACCCAGCGGGCTCCCTCACGTTACCCTCCTGCCTTTTCTAGGTCACGGACGAAGACAGGGGCTGGCTCAGGTCCCTCCCGATGCCGGTGACAGCTCTGCTTTGTCAGCCGGCTGCTGCCTCTCTGCGATGTTTTAACCTTGGTGCCCCCGTACCCTGTGCCCGAGGTTCAAAGTCCCCGCGGCCTGTCTGTCCCTCCTCACCTGGCGCCGCTGGCGAGCGCGGCCCCGGGGCACGGCGGGGCGGCGGCTGAGCCGAGGGGGGAGGTTCTGCTCCTCCGCAGCCCCCCAAAGGCCAGGATTGCAGCTGATGGAACCCGGAGCGCTGGGCCTCGCTCACAGCCTTCCTCCTCCTCCTCCTCCTCCGTGTGCGCAGTACCTGAGCAGGAACATGGTGCAGGATGTCCGGCGGGAGCACTTCAGCTTCAGCCCCCGCATGCCCGNACGTCCGCCGGGCTCATTAACGATCCACGCCGCCGAAAGCGGCACCGGGGTGCACCGTGCCAGCGGGAAAGTTGGCTCCAGGCGCGGCGGTATGCGGGATCCCCCCAGCCGCGCTCTGGCGGTGGTCAGCAACAGGTTTCCTTGGAGGCGGCACTTCAGTTTTCCCTGTTTGTTTGGGGTTTTTTTGGCGTGTGTTTGTTTGTGAGCTGGCTGCTCCCCTCCTCCCCGCTATTTACAGTGAGGTTTGCGGCAGGTGGAGCGTTGCCTTGCTGAGCGCCGGCCGAGGTGGAAGGTGGATGGTGGTTTTATTTTAAATGGCTCGTGGCTCTGGACGTAGCCCCGGGAAGTTTTACAAGTGAAAGGTTTCCAGAGTCTCTTCCAGAGACGGGGCTGAACGGATGAAGTTGCCTTGCCAGGGCTGCTGGTGGCTGTCGGGATCTTTCAGTGCGTTTCTTTTTCAGAGAGCAGTTACAAGCAGGGATGTGCTGCTTACTGAGGTGCTTCAACTCTGTGAGATGCAAGTGTGTAGCGGTAAAGTCGGATAACTAAGACAACTTTTTTCAAACATTGCAGATGCAAGGCTTTTACAAAGACAAACACCAATGTAAAAGTAGAGATTTAATCAAATAAGTCTGGTACATCTTGGATATAGAGTTACGCGTCACGTGTGATGTCTTTACATTTTCCTTTGGAAATCTGAATGTCTGACAAATTTAATGGAACCAACAGAAAAAGACTGGAAAATTCTCATACTATGTCATTGCTTCAATGCAGGACTGGGATGGCTAACCCAGGTTGTTAAGTACAGCCCCAGTAACTGCTTACAGCTGTGTCACAACTGTCCAGTATTGAAATGCCTCCAGATCATACCCCAAAATCTTTGAGTAGCTTGAAAAAATGGTTTTAGAAAATATCAAAGTTTCAAACCATACTGGACTGAGTCAAGGAGCAGTTGACTGAAAGTATAATAAATGCCTCACATTTTAGAGCATGTTTGTTAAATAAAATTCTAGATGATTCTAAAATGTCCTTTTTTCACCTACAGAGGAGAAAAAAGGCCTTCAATCTTCATTTGTCTGAGCCAGAGAATTCCTTACAGTGCTAGGCTGGGCAGTTAGTTTAGCCCTTGACTCTTGAATGGGCGGTAGTAGCAAAGCATTGTAGCACAGCTCAATAACACTTCAAGCTGCCACCCTTTATCTGTGGTCAGTGCGTTGAAAGGAAGGAATAGAAGTTCTGCTGGTTGCACAGGCCAGAGATGGAACTCTAAAATGTCCGGTCTGTAAATGTACTGTAAAGAGATCCTTTACATGGGTAAATAAACTTCTAGGTGTAAGAATACATCTACTTGTTTTTCTGTCCTTTCCAGAAACTTACTACTTCAATTTTAGAACAGCTCAAATTCCTCTTCCCAACTGCTCTGTTTGGAAGACTGTCTCTTGTCTTGTTTGTCAGGCAGTTACAAAACTTTTAATTTCTGATCCATTGAATTAGAGTTGTGTGCAGTGCATTTGCTTAACTTGTGCTAATAGTGTTCTTTACCTTGGGCTGGAACTGCTGCAGGAAATGAAATAAGGAATGGAGTATGTATTTTACTGAGCAGTATAATAAACTCAATCATCTTTAGCCAAGCAAAGTTTTGTGAGGAGACAAAGCAATGTTTTAACATAAGTCTCTTCTGTTGAACTGCTTCAGACAAAAGATCCTCCTGATATGGGGTACAATATTTAACTCTTCAGCAGTGGTACTTCCCCCAGCACTGCTCTAATTTCAGCTCAAAGGCTTCCTGAGCTGAGTGGAATTTCTCATTTTTTCTTCCATGGGCATGCTGAGCTGTTGTTGTGCTCATGTAAACATCACTGTCCTTAAATGATGATTTCCATACCTCACTGCTCTGTTCATTCTTCCTGTGCTGCTTCCACGTGATGAGTTCTCAGCTTACAGAAAAGGTTACTGGTCCCTAAACGCATGATTTCACATGTTGTACTATTAAATTCCATTTTCTGACATTCCAGCTCTCAAAACCTGTGAGCACTCCTGGATAACTACCCAGTCCTCTTTGTACTGGTGACAGTTCCAGTCTGGCGTCGTCTACAAAAATTTCACAGGCACGTTGTTACTCCTTGGCTGCTAATTTATTGAAAGGTGTCAGGAGGAACATTCCAAATAACCCCTCCACCTTGTGATAATTTCCCCAATTAATACAGCCTATTGTAGTTTTACCACATTGGAAACTTAATGGATCTTGTAAGTCTTATTGTTCCTCTAATGATATTAAAAGTATTACTGCTGTTTCAAGTAACTTCAATCAAACATTTTATTTAAATATTTACAGGCTAACTCCACTTACCTGATTTCTGGTACAGAGATAATGAAGATATTAGATAAAAGGTCGGATGTGAGCTGTCCTTTATGTAAAAAAAACTTAACTAATCTTGTCCATTTACTTCCGTGTTTTTATCGCTTCTTTCATTACTGTGGACAAGCTTGAAACATCATGTAGTATAACAAAGGTTTGAAACATCATAAAGTAAAACAAGGTTTTATAACCTGGTCAAGCTTCATATCAAAACCAGGTAAGTTTTTCTCCCTTTTCCACCTAACAGCAGTTTGAAAATTTCTACAACTCCACTTCTCTTGGGTAGAAGCTTTCCAAATTAATATGCTGTGGTTTAGAATGCTTTTTGCTGTTCTGTAGTTGGGCAGCTGTTGTAGTTGAAGGGGTACTGTTTTCCCCTTGGTTATTTACTTGAGATGCTAGTCTGAAATGACATTCCCTCTTAGCCTTGTTTTGCTCAACTAAGCAAGCTGAGTTCTTTGTGCAGCCCTTTAAAAAGGGCTCTCCATCTGTTTGATTATCCTGTAGTTCTCTTCTGCACCTCTTGCAATATGAAGTCATCTTTGTTGCACGTGAGTGAACAGAATCCTCTGCTGGAGTGAGCTTTTGTGAGGCTCTCAAACAACAAAAGTGCTTTCTTGGCTCTAGAAATTTCTCAGTTTTCTGCATTTTAGGTTGTTTGCCTGTTTAGGGAAGATGCCCACATTGACAGCACATGTGAGTGCTGCCAATTGACAGATAACATGCAAGTCTTCCTTTACTGCTTTAAATTTTAAGAACTGTTATTTATATTAGGAAGCTACATTCCATTAGCTTCTGATTAGCACACCCATGTCTTTTTGTGAATTATTTTCTCTGTTCCAAATATTCCTCTTGTTTTCTTGATGGTGCAAACACCGTTAGGGCAGTGCTGCCTCTTATCCTAAAATCACTAAATAAAACATTAAATAAATGATATATAAACTGATTCTTCTGGATCTCCGTGTAGTAGTCTTGGAAGTATCATGGTTGTCACAGTTTTTGAGTGCTGAATACAGCTTGCAGCACACTTTTCCATCTCTTATTTTATTTGTTTACTGATGATTTTCAAATACCTTGTGTTTGTGGGGCAGGTGCTTTATGGGAGAGTCACTGCAGAAAGGTTGTTGCTAAGCATATGTGGAACTGAATGAAGACTGGACAGCACTGGCTTTGGTTTGTTTCTGGTGGTTGGGTTGCTGATGTGAAATGTTAATTGTGGTTGGCAAACTCTTTGCGGTGAAGGAGATAGCACATGCAGGGAAGGTTGTGATGATGGTAAAGCAGTGCATGCATGCATTGTACTGCAGGTTTTTCTTTCCGTTTGCTTCTCTTTTTTTGATTGTCCAAAAGACTTGGGGAAGTTGAAAAGCTTGGAAAGTGTGGAATGCTTTTTTATTACATTCTTACAGCTTTCAAATATTGAGGTGGCTGTTGGTGTGGAAGGATCTGTTCTTGCAGTGTTAGATGCCTAACTGGCTTGTATTTAAATATCTTAAAAACTGTGTACTGTTGCTACAGAGGTTCTTTTTGAAAGCTGCAATGGTATTGTGCATCTGAAAGGTAATCATGCATTCAGATTATAGCCTAGAATTATGAACAAAAAAGTAGAAATTAACACTTAAATATCTGAAGTTAACCTTTTATTTGTTTCTGAATTCAGTTTCTAGTTCAACTTGGCCTTTTCCTTGGGTAACAAAGTAGATGTGCAAGAAACAAACCCATGAAATTGGCATAGAATTAGTAACTGTTTGCAGCTGCTATTCTTTAATTCCTGTATTTAGCCTGTACTGTGTGTAGGAAATATGCATGGTATGTGTTTCAAGTGTTTGGAAATAGCAAAAGAGCAAAGTATGCTAAACAGAAGTCTGCCTTTTTAACTTTGATTCGCTGTGCCAAGTGTGTACATTTAGGTACACACTGAAAACCATACAGGAGCTCAGATTCACCCACAGTGGGCTACAGATGATACCCACTTAATGATTATTTAATCACAGAAGCCCAAAGGGGAGGAGACCATCTGGATTATTGAGTCCAATCCTTTTGATTATCTGGGAAGATTGTTTTATAATCTCATTAATAAATTTAATCAACAGGTTTCTTCTGCCCTGAAGAAATTGATGTCTTCCCCACTCTTAGGATGCTGAAAACTATCTTTTTTTGGTGGCTGTTTAGATGGGCTAAAACACTATTTACTGTATGTGTTCATTCATCTGCTGTAAACAAATTAGAATTTCTTGCTCTCTTCTCCATGATGGATATTGCTGTAAAGATACTATTGCTGAAGTAAGAGGTACTGGAGCACTTAGCTACTGTAAGGAATGGTGATGACCCTCATAATGAGGACTTCTGTGTAGATGATGTCCTTTGTGGTTCTTGACCCTTTGCTTAAATAAAAGGTAATGTATAAGTAAGTGTATGAACTGACATGAAACCCACTGTGAGGAGCT